TATAGACAGGAGAAAGACACTTCCAGCTCCCCAAGAGAACGAGCTAGTTCAAGGTGCTGGACGCACGAGTGAAGAAGTCTGTGGAAGAGATAATAACGAAATATCTCTTCACTGTTGCTATTCCGGTTTCGACCAGCCAACAACAATGTGGTTATTTATAGCAGAGGGTAGCACAGAAGCTGTTCCTATAAATGCTAGTGATCCTAATATAATGATTAGTGATGATGGGATGAACTCTGTATTGATGATCAATCCTTTTGAGGAGGCTTATGCTGGTACTTATCGCTGCAACACAACCAACATTGCCGGGACTGATGCTGGAGATGTCAATGTAGTATGTAAGTGAACTGTCCAATGTCCTTATTTCCTCATTAATATTGCATGAATTAGAGATTTCTTTTAGAATTATTATATTTAGTTGTGTTACCTTAAACCATGAAATTTGTGCGGTAGAAAATGTTTATATTTTAAAATCATGCTAATTTAATTTTTACTAAATAAGACTGTTTCATGTATTATTAAATGTGGCACATCATTATATGGGTGATCTCATTTTTGCAAAATTCTAATTCAGTAAAATTAAAATTACAATAAAGATTTCCAGATAGACAGTATTCTATGCTGATACAAATTAAGCACAATTCAATGCTGCTATATTGCAATGCACATTTGATTTATACATAATTATGTTCTAGAGTATATCTTCATACTATAGCAAAGTATTATGCATATAGTCTCATACATGTATAAATTTGTATAGATAAGCCCCCAGAAGAGAAGGAATGGCTAGTTTCTACGTGGAGTAAAGTAAATCTTCATCTCATAATCATAATCATTATTATCTGTTATTAAGTGTTTCCCAAATTGTCACCATGGGGTAAGGAACAGGACCGTTGTATGTGTGACTGTTTCTAATCATATGGTGATGGATGGGTGTACTCCTCCTCCACCTCCTTCAGAAGAGCAATGCACTGAAAGGGGACCATGCACTGAATGGGTGCCAGGGAATTGGTCAGTGGTAAGTAAAAGCAATAAATAAATTACTAGCTGTTATAAAAATTGTCATGCCATGCTACCATTAAAAAATATGCCCAATTTTTGGTGTTCAAAATACTAAAAATCACAGCATAAGGATATCAATATGAAAATGTAATTAAAATTGGGTGATTTTGGGGCCATTTTTTTGGAAAAAAAACATGGGCTATAGCCTTGGGCATTTTTTAATTTTGGCCAATTTAAAAAATGGTTGAAATCAGCTAACACTTTCTACACAACATAAGAACATCAATATGTATCAGAAAATATAATAAAAATTTGGGGTCATTTTGAAGCCATTTTTTAGAAAAAAATCATTGGCTATTATAGTATAGAACATTTTTCAGATTTTGGCCGATTTTAAAAAATAGCTATAACTTTTAAAATTGCAGTCAAAATTATGAATCAGCTTAAATTTTCTACACAGCATAAGGACATTGATATGAATCAGAAAATGTAATAGAAATTGTAGTGATTTTGGAGCTAAATTCTGATATGTTCATAATCATAGTCATTTTAAGTTTTTGATACATATTAATTTGTTAGTGTAGCATAAGCATAAATATTATCTATAGCATAAGGGAATCAGTGATTTTGTTTCTTTTACATAAAGGTAGGAAGTGCTGTCATCTTTATTTTAGATTCAGCCATTCATTATAATTATGTGCATATTTGTATTGCACTCTATAATAGTGTACAAAAACTTGTGGAATCGGCTATCAAGTTCGTAGAGTCACTTGTAGAGCTACATATGATAATACCATTGAACTGAACGATTCAGAATGTTTGACTGCACGCCCACCTGTATTCCGCTACTGTAACATACATGACTGCCGTAAGTAACACAGGTAATTTTTATTAATATTTTTGTTGCTATACATAGCTTGTATCGAGCCGGCATATTGCAGTTACTATGTTGGTACTGAAATGTGCTGGAGAACTGAGGTGCAAAGAGACTGTTGGTGTACCTGTGGGCCAGCTCCTTGATGCAAACATGTCATTGATAACCAATTATTAATAACTGAAATGATTATTATTAAATTTTAATAAACTTAAAAGGGCTTTAAAAAACTCTATATAGCCTAAACCTGCAAGTGCTGCAAAGTTCCTCGATGCTGCAAGTTTAAAACTAAATTTGTTGTGACTTTTACTAGAAACAGGAGGTGAAGCATGAAAAGTTTTGTCTTGCTTGCCTCAGCACTAGTAAGCATAGTACTGTACTCAAAAATAATGATTAATGCTGGTTTTGATTGGAGCAGGTTGCAGTGATTAGTATATCTTATGGTCAGGACTACAACTACACAGAAAGATATAACTGGAATGGCACACTAAGTATTCCTGTGGATGGAAGACAGGCCATTGAAAGTAATTAATGATAGCATTTATAATGTGGTTTATGTATAATAACATCACACCACTATGCTAGCTGAGACCATGCAGCTAGACCCAACCTTTTTGTCATGACCTTTTGCTTTAATTTTATGATTACATGTTTTGTGAAAGTTCTTTAGTATTTGTGACCATAATTGACAAAAGGTACCTTATGGCGGGTAGTGAAATTTGTCTTTCTAGCCTAAGAAATCCAACTTCCTGAGCCCCATTCATCATAAAATTACTCAACAGGATGCAAAAAGTTACCATGAAACTTTTAGAAACAATGATTGTCTAACAAATCACTCACAGGTTGATATTTTCCATTATAACGATCAATTTTAAAATCCGCCATAAGGGCCCTTTTGTCAATTATGGTCACATTTGGTTTGTGATAATCAGTTTCTTGCATTGTGTAGGTGGTAGAATTTATGTTCAGCTTCCAAACAGCTCCACTCCAATTGATATTAGAATACGTGAGAATGTTAGTGTGACTTTGGATTGTGGCCATTTGGTAAGACCAAGTCTTGAAAGACGCAGTTTGAATGCATTATGGAAGTCGAGAAGAAGGAACTTTGATGGTGATCTGCATGGAATCTAATTTTAGTTGTCTCACTTTCATACCAGGGACCCCTAGGTATAGTGCTGTATTTTTAATTGTATTTATACTTAGAAATTCCTGTAGTAATGGTATTGAAATTTTTTATAAAAATAATGACAGTTTACGTGTTGCTAATCCAACACTAGCTTCAAGAATTGAGAAATCAAATGTTGGAGAATTCAGTTGTGAATATGATGATTACAATATTTATAAAGCTGATATTAATATAATAGGTATATAATTAGATCTATGTTTAGATTTTAATAATTTTTTAGGTTTCCCACCAGTGATCAATCGTGCTGGAATGCTTCCTTCAAATTCAATAAGAATAGGAACCAAAATTTGCATTTCACAATCACCAGTATTTGAGGTCAGAGTGGTATGTGCTCAGATTGGAAGCATTAATCCTGAGCCAGTTTCATCTTACACATTTAATAACCAACCCATAAGTCATGCTTATTTTTTCATAAGCCGATTTCAGAATGAGACTGGATTAAACAATATGATATATGTCTATCCTCCACTATTACTGGAGTACAATATGCAAGGTTTATTAAACTGTGTCCTTCAAAATCGTTTTGGAAATGATTCTGAAACAACAAGGATATTGCACAAAGAGTGTTAATTTTGATCAAATTTAGACTTGAATTTCTAGGTCCTCCGCTAAATGGGGCTATGACTGTTCATAGAGGTGATGGTACTATTGTTCCTCCTTGCCCACACAGTGATAATGATCTATTTGTTTCTTGTGCTGATTCTGCACCAGACAGTACTGTAGAATGGTATATTAACGGTGTACTTTAGAGTGGTAATACAAGGTCTAGACAGAGGGCTACTACCACTGGTAATTACACTTGTGTCATAACTAATGCCTGTGGATTTGTCACTGCTACTAAAATAATCAATGTTTTAACTACCCATGCAACATTTATTATGACTTAACTTAGTATACTTAGTTGAGCAACAACAAGAATTTCAGATTTTTATTTCTTACTTTCAGGTCGTATACAGCAGATAAAAGGAACAGGGACTGTTATTGATCAAACAGTTGACATTGGCTCAAGGCTCTGTCTCAGTTGGAATGATCAAGCCACAATCAACTGCAATACTGCTTTTGGTACTAATGTAACTAGAACATGGTTTAGAAATAATAGCATCATAAGTGGTGTCACTGGTAGCAGTTATAATGCTATGCCTAGTGATATAGGAAGTGCAATCACTTGCATAGTTTCAAATGATTGTGGAATAGATATGGCAGCTTCACAAGTTATTAGTGAGTTATAAATAAAGGAGATATAGCATCTTACAGCATTTTACTACATCAGGTCAAGTTCCTGTTACCATTAATGGAAGTATCCTAGCTCTGCTGGATATATCAGATGATGGATGCAATCGACCTGGTATAACCAATAGTACTGCTGACCTTTGCCCTTTTGATGGAGAGAGAGTTGTAATATCTTGTTCTTCTGATACATGTTATACCATCAGTGGACCTGGTGGAAGTTCAACAGGTGCTCCTCTTGTTATATGGGGCTTTGGTCTATCAGACTCAGGAATATACATCTGTAGATCTCATAATAATGACTGTGGGGTAGCAGAGGATTCTATACTTGTCATTGCATCAGGTAAGTCAACAAATATTAAAGTTTAATTCCTATCCATTATTTACTATCAGGTGTCCCTCCTTTGATTGGAGCTAATCCTCCTGGCATCCCAACTTTAATTTTACCTCCAACAATAAGAATTACTGGAGTTAATGTTGGTGTCAATGTTTGTTTGTTCAGGTAGTTTCTATTGATTGTTGGACTCAGAGTGGTACTTGGCCTATTACATTTACATGGACTGCTGAAACTACAAATCTCTTCAGAGTGGTACAAAGTGACTGGTACAACAAGGTGAGGTCAAATTCTGCTTCCAAGGTCTCTGTA